TTTATTTTATTCACATTTTTGCTTTATTGTGGTTAATCATTTTTTACTTTATGCGAAATTAAAAAAATGTCACTGAAATACGTCACACATACGATGTCACACATAATAATTATGAACGAGGTGATTTAGGTCGAAGCTAACGTCTAAAGGTGTGAGACTATCGATAGTGTTAATGCAATGTAATGTAAATTATAGGTTTCTATTGATTATTTCCCATCTCTACGAGTTTCATCTCTTTTTATTTCAAAAGGTAACTGTTTTCTATCTGTTACGTTAAAAAGCCGGGTGGTAAAGCACTCACCACTGTATAGTAAAATTATCTAAAACCTTTTATAGGTTTCATTTTTATAATTGGGTATATTATTGTTACTACTAAATAGTTTTTGTAATTAAAATTTATGAGCTACATGAGAAATGATTGTAACAGTACCCTTCTTGTTTGATCAAAATATTTTTCCTATATACAGACATAAGTACAACAACCTTCGTGTTACATGTTTTTGGAAACATACCAGTGTACAAATATTTGTACACAATACAAAGTATTACTTCAAGTTATATAAAAATGGGGATTAGTATATATTATTATCTATAGAAACATTTATTATTATCCATAGAAACATTTGCTCTGCTGTTATTAATATTGATATATTAATTCTCTGCTGTTATTAATGTTAATTTTAAAGTTTAACTTGCTGTCATTAATTTTGTCAATTTGGCATTTTGACAACTTGTCTCGGGCTTACATCACAAGAACATGCGCGTTGACTTATCTTGTTTTGTTATAGATTCATGATATTATGACAAGCAGTTGTAAGAAGGTAAAGACATACCATTCGGAATGAGAAGAACAATACTTTTTTTACAGAAGTTAAAGATAAAAATGTGTGTTTGTTACTTCGGTCTCCGTCGCTAAAAAAGGAAATATTGAGAGACATCATAAAACTGTACATTCTAATTTTTAAAAATCATTCCCACTACATTCTGCCGCCAGAAAGGAGAAACTGAAACAGTTAAAAAAACAGTTAATTGTACAACAATCAATATTTTTAAGAACAGTCGACAAAAATAAGGCTGCAACTGAAGCATCGTACCGTGTGTCCCAGATAATTGCACAAAAAAAGAAACCTTATGAAGACGGGGAAATGATAAAACAGGCGTTTTTAGAAGCTGCTGATTCGGTATTTGCCAACTTTAGAAATAAAGACGAGGATAGTTTCAGCTATAAAATATATGCAACTTTCTGCTAATACAGTGATGAGACGTGTAGGAGTAATGAGCAATGATATTTTTTTTTACAGTTAAGGCTATTTTAGCACACTGCGATTTGAAATGGGTGTATCACATACTTTTCTACTCTGCTTACGCCACCCAACGACGGGTACAGTGGCGCCGGCCGACGGGTAGTTTAATGACAACAAATGCATTATTCTCCATTCAAATTAGTTTTGTCGAGAATACCTTTTTGAATGATTATCGTAGATGTTTTAAAAAGAATTATCACATTTTTAATTTATATGTATATGTGTTTATTTATAATAAATTGAAAATAATATAAAAATATCAAAAAAAAAATACAATTTGTTGTCACAAAAAAATAAACAATTTCGCAGTTATAGCTTGAAAATGATTTCAAATCGAACTAACTGACCGTACGTTCATGAGATTTGACGTCACGAAGCCGATAACGGTGGAACTAAGTGCCAATGATGAGTAACACGTTTCACTATTAGATTTCAGTATTTTTAAGCAATTTTCTTGAAAGTTTTAACACGCTTATCTCGATTCTTACTGGACACAGAAAGGTGAAAAAAAAAAATCAACGATTACAGAAAAAGAAAACTCTTTCAAGTGATGGGCGTAAAAAGTTTGGTTATAATAGAACGTTAAACTGCATAATCCGATATTTCAAAAAAACTTTCAAAAAAATTTAAAAAGTGAAACCATCAGTTTAAAGGCAACATAATTTTGAATAACGTGTCCAAATTACCAGACATTTTGTCGGTAAATAACAGAGAAAACACTATCTCTAGGTTTTGGTGTACCGATAAAACAGCCTTAAGAACTGACTTAGATAATTGTGTTTATTTTTCACTTCAACTGGATGGATCAACAGATGTCGTTGATACTGCCCGGATGGCCGTGTTCGTCAGGATGGTTTTTAGTGATTTTACGATTAAAGAAGATCTTTTCAAGTTCATTCCACTGAAAGGACACACTACTGGACAGGAGTTGTTTTCTCATTTAAAAAATATTATTTCTTCCGAGAAAATTCCAATATCGAAAATGGTAGGCTTGACAACCGATGGCGCTCCAGCTATGGTGGGTTGTGATAAGGTCTGGTGGCGTTATATCGTAAAGATGAAATTTTTCCGCAATTTCTCTGTTACCACTGCATTATCCATCAGCAAGCATTATGTGGAAATCTGAAACTAAACAACGTTATGAAACTGGTGTTAAAAATTGTGAACAAGATTAGAGCTCAAGCGTTACAAAGAAGATTATTCAGAACCTTGGCCGATGAAGTTGACTGTCAATACGGGGACCTACTCCTTCACTCTGAAGTCCGAGGGTTAAGTAGAGGACGGGTGCTGAAACGTTTTAATGATGTCCTATCTGGCATAGTTCAATTTTTCAAACAACGCGATGAACCGATTCCGGAACTAGAAAATTCAATCTGGCTTAGAGATTTTGGTTTTCTCGTGGACATTACAGAGAAATTAAACGAACTTAATTTGCAGCTTCAGGAGAGAGACAAATAACTAGCGGAAATGTTTTCTGATATAAAAGCATTTATCAAAAAGCTGGAGTTTTGGGAACAAAACCTAATTAACAGCGATTCCAAGCATTTGTGAAAAGCCTATTTGTGTGAATCTTCTTTTTCCAATATGAAGTTTATTAAGAACAAATATCGCAATCGACTTACAGATGAACATTTGGATAATTGCATTCGAATTATTTCGAATGGCTGCATCAAATTATACTGCAAACATTAAAAAAATGATCGATCAGTCTGAGTGTCAGCCTTCTCATTGAACGTGCTTTTTTATTTTTCAATGTTTATGTTTATAATAATGCGTTACTTTTTTGTTGTTATTATTAACTATTTTTAAATCATACGTGACATGTCGTTGTGGCTGGATAAAAGTTTGTGTTTATTTTTCAAATACCTTCGTTTGAAGAAGTGTGAACAAGTATATACGTACTAGTAATATTAGTTATTTTGTTATTAGTTTATTATTAGTACCTATGTATTATGTATTACCAGTAAAGCAGTAAAATAAATACATATAATGATAGATTAACTGTGGATTATTTCATTTACGTTGCGTTACGTGGCTTCCGTGTGGGTAGCTCGCTGTTTATTCCAAAATTAACAAAGTAGCTAAACACATTGAAGAGGTTGGCGACCACTGGTTTAAATTATTATATGATTAGTTCGTTTTTATTTGCAAAAAAGTATTAAGATTTGTATTTTATTAACCGTTTTAAATATAAATATGGTTCACGTATGATTTATTTTTATATTTACGTTGTTTAGTGATTAAACTTGAGAGATCGCTGGTTAAATTGTATTGGATAAATAATTTTAACGAAAAAATGCAATATTAGATTGTATATAAGATTAGCGAAAATAGCGAATATTTGTAGCAAATATATGTAAAATAAAATGAATTCAAATAACAATTGGCAGATTTTATATCTTATTGTCAATTCTATATGAGATTCACTTACCTTTTGTCTATGGTTGGGCCCGGCTGGGGTAGGAATGACTAATGAGATACACTGCGGTGGTGATCTGCTTGGCGCTTGCTTCCGTACACGACGAGAGTTTTTGAAGAATGATCGATCATATGCAAAGGGAGCACGTATATATTACCCCAAATCGACTAGAGGGTTCTGTTTTTAGAGACCTCCGTGAATAGCCGTAAATTAAACTTAAACTGACATTCTTTACTTGCTACACAAAGGCGGATACGTTTTCTTAAGGAATCTGAAGTGTTTTGGGTTGATATATGTTTCCCAAAAACATGTTGAATTTCAGACAAGTGAATTCTCAGAACTTGACAACAATTAATCAGCCAATTTGAGTTCGAGAATTTAAAAATAAACTAAAGCCATATTGTAATTAGGTAATATATTATGATTAAATAAGATTTAAAACTAAATAAGGTCATATTCGTAATAATAAAAATAAAATATTTAAATCACTTGACACTTTTCCAAACATACGTATATTTAAACTCCTAGGTATTTATAATTAGGTTATTTCTAAAAAAACCTTTACAAAAAAAATCAGTGAATTTTCTAGGAACATTAAATAACACATTTTCATTCTCATTTTTACATAAAATTATATTTTATGTAAATGCCTCAATCATTTTAACCACAACTAAAATTTTTATTTCAAAATTACACTACAAGAAACAACACAGCATGGCAACATCCAAGCCAATACGTGGGCGTGGGCATAGGATCCGAAACATTATGACATTAAGATAAGACTTTATGTTACTTTATGTCACTTTATGTTACTTTACGTTACTTTATGTTACTTTATGTTACTTTATGTCACATTCATAAGAGTTATGAATCTGTTATCTGAGGCTAATCGGCATTTTTTTTAACTAGTTAGTCCATCCATTCACAAAATAATAAATATATGTTCTCATTCATTCATTATTTTCTTCTTTAAAAGTTGAGACACAATTTATAATGCAAATTGTTCGCAGTGAACTAGTTCTATGAAAATTAATGAACTAGTTCAGTTGAAAGAATCGTTCATTTGAACTATTTCGATGGTGAACTACACATCCCTAATTGTTCGTCAATAATTTTATTTTGTTCACTTGTAACGGCCGTCTTGTTGCCGACAAAACCAAAAAATTCGTCGCTGAGATTATAAAATCGGCCGGGCGATAGACGTGTCGAAACCTGACTGCTGTTCAACGAAAATGTCATTAATTATTCAAAATTAATAAAACCAATAGAACAAAAAGATTCTGATGATAAAATAACTGAATCCACATCCATCCCAACTGTTAATGTTTATGATTCTGAACTACTTCGAGAGGTGGAGATACGCTTAAATCCAGAAGTTGTTAACCGTTTTAGAATTGCTGAATCAGCGGCCCAACTAGAAGAAAAATATGTAGCATTGTATGATTTCTGGAAGAGTCTTCATCCACAAAATGTCGATCATGATACAGCTTTGGAAAACAATTTGCCGATTAATGCTGCTAACGAGATCATTGTTGACATACACATCGATGAAAACTTTTGGTTTTGCAATAATGATACAATTGAAGCTACAGTCAAAGCAGATGTGGCATTGGTCTTAATTCCTTCACAAAATAGCAATTCTAGTTCGCTAAAACCTGGTCCATCATCATCCAAGGACAATGATTCTTGGAAATAGACTATTATTTAGCAGTAAGTTCACCCCAAGCAAAAACACCACTTAAGAACAAAGTAGTAAACAGAACTCCTTGTAATAGCCCATTAAAAATGATTCAATATTTATAGTTCATTCTGATAAAAAAAGACAAGTACAAAATTAAGAAAAAACCCCACTTAAGCAAATTACATCAGAGAATAATAGTAAACATCCAACACCTTTCAAAAAAGCACTGTTTTGGCCGGAAAGCTTTACAAAGAAAAAAATAATAGCACAGAAGACACCAACGAAAGGAATCCACCACAGATTTATGCTACAGCAGCTATATGTAGCATAGAGCTCTTGGAGCTCTAGTTAACAACACAGGCAGTTGTGAATCCGAAATTAGAAGACGCATTCAACTAGCAAGAGCAGCAATGAGTGAACTAAACGGGGTCTGGCGTGATCGTCACATTACTATGACAAACAAAAAGAGACTCGTTTCAACTCTGGTCTTTTCCATATTTTACTATGCATGCGAGACATGGACAGTCAAAGAATCAGATCGACGACGTATAGACGCCTTTGAAATGTGGACATGGAGACGCCACGTCACGATGTTTGGTGACTAAATCCAAATTTTGTTCCTAACAGATCCACTAACATGAGTACATCTACTAGGAATAGTACCCCCCAGTTCACAAATAGCTTTCAAAACTTTAAGCCAGCTCAGAACGCTTGGCGACCAACTCCCAATTTTGCTCCAAACACATCTACTCCTATGAGTACAACTACTAGAAATAGTACTCCCCATTTCAGAAATAATTTCCACAACCCTAGAAATCCAAACCAAAATTTTACATTTGAAGAACTATATAGTCCCGAATACGAATCCATTAATAATAGTGATAATCAAAATACTCTTCGGACTTCTTATCAACAAGCTTTTGATATTGTTAACGAAGAGCATCATCAAAATTTTTAAGACAGCATCTTTTAAAACCAACCGACTTAATAGAATTAAATTTTCCCACAAATAAAAGAGAACTGCCATGTATTCAGATTCATGATCCTCCTTTAAAGTTACTGGTAGATAGTGGTTCCTTTAAATCTTTCTTACATCCCGAAAAAGCTAGCTGTATTGTTCATTTGAAATGTTTGTGACTGATCGGACAAGAAATAAAAGTTGTTATAAGTTGTTATACAATTATCTTTATTTCTCCTGATTTGAGTATTTTATCAATAACGTTTTTTGAGGTAAGGAAAGGTGTGCCTTTGGATGCCCGTGGATATTCTATTAAATGTGGTTTTTGTGGTAATCATTTTGAATGAGGGCTTGTTTTAAAGAAGAGAGCTTACCTGATCTACTTTGATGATCGCAAAGGCTTATAGATATGGATGCAATGACATTAATGACTGGAAGGAAATTCTCTTGTAAGGAAAAAGTGGCCATTACGGTTATCTGCTCTTTTTCCGATGATACCCTAATATTAAAATCTTCTTTGTAGCCTACAGAGCCTAAAACTTTTTCACTCTTCGGACATAGGCAAAATCCTGCCCCATCTGCATTGATTACCCGAGTTGGATCTAATAATATTTCATCATATCTATCTTCCTCTAAAAAAATTGAATTGCATCAAACCATGCTTCAATTCGGTCTTGTGTTACTGCTGCCCGAACTTTGCTGATACTTGAACCAAGAACGCCCAGGAGTTTTATGTAATAAATATTTAGTTTCTCGGCCAGTTTTTTCAAGCAATTTTTTCACTGATAAAAAGTTCTGTTGCTGGACCCATTTTCCGAGGAGTAGTAGCAGGCGAGTATAATTTATGGATCAGTGTGGCTCAAAAACAATTGGTCTTAAAATTAACACCTCAAAGATAAAATTTATAACCAACCTTGTTATTCTGATTGAGAGCCATAGCATTGACCAAGTAATAGCTTACAAATATCTAGGGCATGAGATTCGCTTAGGCCGAGATAATTAGACAACTGAAATACAAAGAAGGATAGGTCTCACATGGGCTGCCTTTGGTAGATTAAATAACATTTTCAAGTCTATTATACCAGTTTGTTTAAAAAGAAAGGTTTTTAACCAGTGCGTTTTACCGGTTCTTACATATGGTGCAGAAACACTGACTCTGACAAAAAGAACAATAGATAAAATAAGAGTTACGCTACGCACTACGGAAAGATCAATATTAGGTATTACCATCAGAGATAAAGTACCAAACCTAGAAATAAGAAGAAGAACAGGAGTCACATATGCAGTTGAAAAAATAGAAATGGCTAAATGGGCGACTAAGGCAAGAGGCATATCGAAGCAGAGAACGACCACCGACTAGATGGAAGGACGATATCAAGCGCATCACCACAAACTGGATGCAAGAAGAAGAAAGAAAATTTTACGGGAGGCCTAGGTCGGCCAAACCACGCCAAAGGCCAAACCCACGGTTCGTAGATTTACTACGGTTGCCTCTTCCGACTGGGGGTGGGGATGCTTGAGTTACGTCACCAGAGTACACAATAATACAAAACCCATTTATTATCACTGTTTTTTCGTGGTAATTATCTCTCAGTTATTATTTGCTTTATTATTTATCGTTTCTTAAATATCTTAGTTTACTTTATATTTTTGTATTTGAAAATTTGATGTTGTTTTCTGTAATAACTTATTTTTAATTATCGAAGAAAAGTTATTTGTTGTATTTGTACATCGTATCTATTGTAGAGTACCTTACATAAGAATATCTTTTTATAAAGTAGGTTAAAACTATAAAATTTCATTGTCTATTAACGTTATAATAATGTTGATGAAATTTTGGAATGCCAGGCACAGCTTGTAGTGTGGCTACTTGTAAAAATATTTTTTATAAAAACAAGAAGTCTGCCGATTCTGATCAACAAATATCATTTTTCATGTTTCCCAAAAATACAAAATTAGAAAAAATATGGGTTATGCGGTGTGACAGAAAAGATAAAATAAATATAAAAACTGCAAGAGTATGTAGTAATCATTTCAAGGATGATTTTGTGGATGACATGTTATGCTCGAATAGTGGGAACTTTGAATTTAAAGGATAGAGGTAGGTATTGACTTAATGTAATTCTGTTTATTATCATTACTATTTTATAGCAATTCCGAGTTATATCTTAAAATCTCAAGATGTTTAAAATGTGTTAACCTACAGCAAGAAGAGATAAAAAAGTAGCAATAAAAACACAAACAGTTATTATTGAAGTCTTATTAGAAAAATATTAAAAAAAATGAAAAAAATAATTATGTAGTGTATATTTATATCTATTGGAAATACAATAAACTAGTTACGTTTTTTACCAATTAAAATTTATTACATATTACTTAAATTTTTAGAGTATATTATACAAGTAATTCTAACTCGGATAATCCTAGCTGACCTCTACGGGCCGGTAATTCATTCAACAAATAATCCAGTATTTATAATTCAGTATATACGACAAATTTTCAGTGTAAAATGGAGATTGAAATCGTACATTTATGTAAATCTAGAACTGTATTCTGATTGATTTTAAGTATCTATTAAACTACCTACATATCAACAGTTTTCCATAATTAGGTATTATAATCCACTAAACATCTTGATTTCATAACTATCTTTACTATTTTCTATACATCAAAGACATGAAAACGCTGATTAACACTGTTATGATTCAAATTACTGTACTCTCGTGACGTAATTTCGGGCTTAATGTTCATTGGTTATTTGGAAGAGGCAACCATAGTAAGTCTACGAACCGTGCGCCAAACCCAAAGGTTTTTCTTTCACGGTGACGGTTGACATTTGACATTGCGTTTTTCATTAAACTTATAGACGCTTATAGAAGAATTTTTCACTTCCCGTTTAGCAAGTTGAGAAAGATTGAACAGAGTTGATCGCACGTTACAAAAAAGAAGGGAGGTGGATCGAGATGGATCGAGGTTTCACTAGGGAGCGGTCATGTCAGCGCTGTTATTGCTTCTAAAATATGAAAGAGTGGGGCAACAAATGCAACTTAAATATTTTTATGAGATGCCGCGTGGTCGTAGAAGAGGATTAAATTTTTGCATTTTATAAAAATTTTTAAAGAAAAGAATATATTTTATTATTATTATTATTTATTATTATTTTAACTTTTAATAAATTAATCTTTTTAAAAAAATATGACTCAAATTTTTAATTCAAATATATACAAAAGTATAAATAATATAATTAAAACTCTCTTCTTATAAACTATAAATAAAATTAATTAAGCGGCAATCACCGGGAGAGAAAGCTCAAAAAATTGTAAGGTGTTTCGATCAAAAAACAATTCCTGATCTTGTTAGTACGCTAGAATTGCTTTTAACACATACACCAAAGAATTATTTTTTTATATTGTGAAGTATAATTTCGGATTTTTAAATTAAAAAATAAGTAAGTCTCAAATAACTAATCACCAGAGCTCAACAAAGGAAGATAAGAAAAAGGCAAAAATTGCAGCTGGGGCATAGACCATAGCAAATCCTTAAACATCCAAATCAGCAACACCCGACGATAAAATGAGACTTGGGGAGAATAAAATCACCCCCTTGTAATAGAGTTGCTAAGAAATCAAAGTGCTCTAACGAGCAGACTAGGTCATAAAGCACCCTGACAACAGACACCACCCTGATATTCAACTAGATCGGGCTCAAGCAAATTTGATCATTAACAAACTAGAGCAAGCACTTGAGGCTCCTATCTAAGGTCAAAATGAACTCCTGCAGTTCCATAAAACATCGTTTAGCAAAGGGACTCTGTGGGTGAACTGTGTTAACGAGTATACAAAAAAATGGACGACTGAAGTGGTGAAGACTATTGAGGGCCTGTGGGAGAGAGTAAACTTAAATATAATTGTTTCAATAATATGCCTAAGCGCCCATGATCCTCACCCGCGACCCCAAGAAAAAACTTGATGAAGGACCCATCTAAAAAGGCAAAATCAAGACCTTAACTCAGAAGACTTGTGATCTCTGTTCCACATACTGAACGACAGTAAAGATA